CAAATAACAATAAATATTTAGTGGGTCATCCCTGTTCCAAAGTAATTTGAGGTGTAGTATTTTAGAACAGAGGTGAACGCTATTCAAAATTTGAAATGAAATTCAAACAAAAATGATTGTGAACTTTCAGATGCTCCAAAGCTTGTGACAGTTTACCGATAGTACATATTTCTACAATTCTCACAAATTTCATATATTAGTCCTAGGAATGAGTTCAGAGTGCTCACTGTTCGTCATTGACTATGATTTGCTAATCTGAAAGGGAGGGGTGCATTGCAGAATAAGACTTTTTTTTTTTTTGCTTTTTGTTGTCTCCTAAAAGGTGTATTTACTTGTAGTATTTGTAAAACCGTGACTGAAATTCCATTTGACACATGTATGCTCTTTAAGTAATGAATTTCTTGCTTTTATATTTTTACTTTTTTTCTTTGCAATCAACATATCACAGTCAGAGAAGAAGAACGGTCCTGATCACTGACGACCCAAACCCATTACCAATATACACCGGATCCCATCGACCATACCAGTCTGATATAGGTTATAAAAAACCTGTTGCAGCCTACCCACCAAAACCACTCCAGCTTCCGAGTAATTTTGGGTTCCAACCCTATCCCCAGTATACCTATCCTCCTGGATTTGAATTCCCTGCTGCTCAAAACCAGGTACCATCATACCTTGGCCATCCTCCTTACCCTTACGCAACTAATCAAACGTGAGCTTTACTTTCTTCTTAGCATGACACTTGCATGAATTGAAACAGAAATGAATAGTCTGGTGATTTAATTATGCCCTTGAATGCCAAAGTCATCTTTTGTCAATGTTCACAAAATAAACCTGCAGCATTCCTCCAAGAAAGACATCAAAAGTGTTATGAAGCATGTCATGGTGAAGGTTAGCTTTTATTTTCCTGTAAATAAAAAAAATTGGGTGCCCGGTAATTAGTGAAAGCATGTATTTGTACCTAATCTAATGTGCACATATGCTTTAATGTATTATGATTTAAATTGGCATGTACCATATTTTTCTGATAGGTTTTGGCATGTTTGCAACATGTGACTAAATCATGTGACTAGGTCATGTGACTAAGTCGTTATTCGAAGGTGATCCCTGATGTATTGTAAAACTGATAAAACTTTTCTATTTGAAGTTTCAAACAACATATTGTTTCCAACCAAATTCATTTTATCTACATACATGTACTAGTAGACTGTAAACTGGTTCATTTTTACTGCTAGGAATTGTGGGATTGATGATTTTATGACATTCGTTAAGAAAATTCTGTGCAAAGGCACTAATGCTCAGTCTCATAAAATTCCAGAAAAATGTTCACTGCTACAAAAATTTCCTAATTTTCGCCAACTCATGAAATAAATGAAAATTTACTTATTGCGAAATTAAAGCAGTTTACAGTACTGTGTATATTAAATATGATACACAAATGTACATGAATAACAAACATTGCCCCCTATATAAATGTAGTTGTACTCGTTATCAATAGAGTATTAACTTTTTTCAAAACATGTCTTGGCTTGCAACTCGTATTCAAGTATAAATACCGGTATTTTATTTATTTATTTATTTATTTAGAGGACATATCATGCGCATATTCTCCTAAAATGAGCTCTATGTGCATAAAAAAGACTATCAATAAAAAACAAGTACCGGTATATAAAACAAGTCAGGGTTATGGTCTTGACAGAAATGGTTGAAGTATTGGTGGTCACAAGGTGTTAAGAAAGTGTTAAGGTTCTTTCCTAGTATTTCCTTCTTTAAAATTCTTTTTTTTTGAGAAATTATATCAAATGTCATGTATACTGAAAAATGTTTTGCAAAAATGTATGTAACCCGTCTTTAGTACTCCAATGTAATGTTTTCTGTTCCAAATTTTTAACTCAACATTATTAGTATATTGTAAGTAGTTCAAGTTTTTCTGCACCACAATATTGGCATCTATCTTGGACCAAAGGAACCAAAGTTTATACTGCTTACAAAATGTCGTCAAATATATTTAAAATGTTTAAACTGTCTGATTTCTTATTTTAAATTTTTAAGAGAACATTGGATACTGAGTTGTACTGTTCATAGTAGCTATGATTTCTCAACTGTTGAATTTCAGTCACTAGTTTTATAAAACTCAATTGCATGCTTTAATAACCTTAAAACAGATTACCTTGTATTTAATTTTTTTCCACCAAGGGACAAACTTAAATATCTCAAAACATAAACATGTATGTGAGAGAAATTTTTCTGAAAAATGTTGTTAAGAACATTACTAGCGATGCTAATTAAAAGATTTGCACTAACTTGCTCACCCCATTGTAAGAATGCCTAGTATAAATGAAGTACACATACATGTACACTGTACATAGAACTTGTGCTTTTCTAGAATTTAAGGATATCATCACTTGGCTTAGGAATATTGACTTGTTTGTGAGGAGAGGGGTAATAGGACTACAGTTTCAAATGCTGGTAGCCCAGGTCTTTACTTTTTAATTGTGTTTCCATCAAATAAATAATAAAAAGCAAAATAAAAGATGAGAGTATCTAAACACATTTCCATGGATAGTGATTAACTATGCACATACAACTGAAGTTATAATTCAAAACATAGTTTAAGTACCCATTTTGTTTTTTCTTCAGATATTCAAATAGCAAATCACAGAAAATAACTTTGCTAATTTTTAGAAAATTTCTGTGTCAAGTGTGTTGACCATCTCCAGCCTATGTACAGCATAACTTATCATCCAATCTGACTCTTGGCTGGCTTTGCTAAAGTAGACATCTTTGTCAATCAATTCTTTGTAGTGTTTACCTATGTTACTAAGGTGAGACATATTTAGACAAATCACTTTGTACAAATTAAATTTATGGTGTTGAAAGCAAGTTAAGTTAATTATATGTTAATTTACACTCTGGCTATACTACTACGTCTAAGTATATTAAAATATTTGTTATTTTAAAATAATTATATTATCATCTACATTATGCTGTTATGTGAGAAAACATGATTACCCGAGTAAGTTATTATAAAAATGCTAATTTGAGTTGTTTCAAAACAAAAATCCATCATAAAATAATTTTTTTTAGCCATAAAACCTACTTTTCAAATCCAAAGTCATCCACAGAACTGGCTCATAAATGAAGAGTTAAATTTGCTTAAAATGAGAAAATGGCCACAATCATTTGAAGTTGTTTGTTAATAATATTAAATAATTTACAACAATTTAACTATGGTAAATTTGTTGTACACTATTTTTTGCGGCATAACAAAGTTATACTTTATGTCAACAAATTTTCTTATTGGCATTTTTTGTTCAATGCTGAATCGATCTGTCCAACTAAACAATTAAAGTATTGGTAGCAGATGCTCTAGGAGGTTTCATGCTCGTACATGAAATTTTTACCTAATCTGACATTTGGGATTTTCAAGTGAAACTTAATCTATGAGCTATTTGTAATTTCTTATTAAAAATTATTAATCATTTGCACCCAGTCATTGTCGCTGTCATTGGCAGAAATTATTATTCATACTTTTGCTATATTTAATGCTTGATGAGTGTTTTGCAAAATTTTATATTTGGATTGATAAATTTTGACAAAATTTAGCAAAAGTACCTTAGTTTAAGTTGTAATTGAATTTTTTCATAATAATTTTATTTTTCAGTTCCATTCATACTTTTAATTGATTAATTAATTACTGGTATATTAAAAATGAATATAAGATAGTTATAAATTAATTTGTATTCTCGTCAGTTAAACCAAGTTAAACGGAGCGTTAAGACAATTTGGCTTATATTTTGTAAAAAATTTAAATAATTCCATTGCTATTGTTCGGTCTAGAAAAAAAAATCAATATTTCCATTAAACCCTAGTAATCTACATTTTGTCATAGTATAACTTTATGTACTGTGTAAATTATTCATGCTCACCCTCTCCCTTCCAAGCAATACTTTTGAAGGCTAGTTAAAACATACTTTTACAATTAACATTACCGTAACATCAACAACAAAACATCAGTAGAGATGGCACAAAGAATATAAAAATAAAATTTATTGCTCTTGTAACGTCGACTTCTTATATGTAGAAGGTTCAGTACATATTCAGAAATATAAAAAGAAAAAAAGAAATGTGTACATTTTTAGAAACATTTTTGTTGTCTTGTCTTAATTCAGGAACTTGAATTACCGGTACTGAAAAACATAGATAATGGCCACATGTATATCGTGTCAGATTCCTGTAAAAAATACTTAAACATTAAGTGGGCTTTTAACTAAATTATAAAAAACAACTGCGTCATGCAGTACAATGGATCTCGCAAAAAAATTCTGAACACCCACCCCAACTGACCTTAAATCACGCTACACCTGACTAATGTCCCTTGTGGTGGAAATAAACCAATACAAGTGGGGTAATCTGTTCAAGTTTTGTTCACACTCAACAAATGTTGGTAGTTTTATTGCGGGGTTGGTGAAGGGGATTGGAATTGGTCTTTTCATAGCATGTAACATCCTGTGGGCTAAACCATTATTATACTCAATGGGGGTGTTTGGTTGATTCATTTCACTGGATGTCCAATCAATGCCAATCCATGATCCATGTTCAATTTAATTTAATACTAAAAAAATTAAAATAATCATCTCTAGGTTCATTATTATATTTTCAACTTTATTCAGTGCTTGAATATAATGCGATCATCAACAACTTTGTGCAAAAAAAAAATATGTTAATTTTTGATATGTAAATTTCGAGTTTTTAATCCTTTTTGTGATGTTTTGATTCCGTGGCAATATGCAATGTGACACAGTTTGTACAGCACACTTAGTAAGGACTGACACGTGTTAGTGTGTGTATACGCAGTAGCAAACATCACAAATTTGGAATTTTCATTCAACCAGTTTTCACCCTCTTTTCCATGGATAGACATTTGTTTTGATATTCACCATGGGTCTGAAATACATTGTACCAAGTAAATTACGACAAACAATTTCATATCGTTACAGCATGGCGCTTAATACTCTGTCCAACGTCAACGCCAAGGATTTCGTCCAGAAGCAGCGAGAGAATCTCAAACCTTGGCAAGAGTTCTTGAACACCTCGAAAGTTTCCAAACCCAGGAGTGTTGCACATCTTACGTCCAGAGTTACAAAGAACCTTGAACGCTTCCAAAGTAATTATTTACTGGTATCCATTGTACTCTTCATATATTGCATGTAAGTATTTAATAGTATTTTTTTTTAAATCGAATAATCAGCTTTGTTTATCTGGGTCACAGCTTTTGGCGTAACAGTTCTACCCACGCCACATTAACCCTTTGAATGCCATCATTTTTTCTTCAAAATCTTTAGCGCACATTTTATAATTTTGTTGTTAATTTTTGACCAAATATACATAATTTTACAGTTAAGGTATTGATTAATTTTGTGAGTTATTATGTAGTTTGTAAAAAAGGACAAAAGTAGACTTTGAGTTTAGTAGTTGAGTTGAGTTTTGTAGTGTAAATACACTATAAACTGTTAAATTTTTGCTGCTAAATATTTTTAGGATTTCATGTTATGGCATTTGTGAAAAATAAATTTCTTGAAATTCACTGAAACTCCATGTTGTAAAATCCCAGAGAAATTTTCAATGCTACAAAATTTGGTAATTTTCACTGAAATTCGCAAAAATTTGTCTCTCCCAAAATTAAAACAGTGTACAATACTACTGCTATCTTTTTCATTAATGAATTTATGTAAAATCATGCAGTGTACTCCCCAAAACATTTTTATAGCATGTATTTCCTAAAATACCAATTCCTGCAGAAGATGAGAGCATGTAGCGACATAGCATGCTTTCAATTGTTTTTACCAGGATGTACCTCAATATTGTTTTTCCACAGGAGATTATAACTACCGTACCATAAAATATGTATTACTAGCCGCATCCCTAATAGAAGCCACACTCATTCATTTTGACCCAAAATTTCACCATTGCTCACATGTGTAGATAAGAGGATGCATAGACTCTGTTGCATTGTACCATTTTAATAGAAGCCGCAACTTCTAGTACAGATTTTACAGTAATGTTTGATCACATAACAATTCATAAAAGACCTTCATCACTGAGATTTGCACTTTCCGATTTTAATATATGGTTCATTGAATAATGTTGCGATGTTAAAAGGGCTGCAGAAGAATAATGATTACATAAAATACAAATACGTCAAGCAGAGGGTTTCACTAGCATTTTCAGAGTAGTAATTAAATGAATTGAACAGAATTCAAATTTTGCTACTACACATATGCAATGCATTATGGGAGTAATCTTCCCTTTGTATATTTGAAAACTTTCTATTTTGGTATTCTAATGGCATTAACTCGTG